AATAACTCCTACTAAGTACATAATGCCTTATTCATTTGTCAATGTACCCGTGCAACACATCGGTATAAATAAATAAGATAAAAATATTTATTTATTTATTTACTTTGACATAAGAAATGCACATGCACAAATTCTCCCCTCCTAAAAGTATTCCCAAGGAGTCTCCTTCAACTAGGAGTGAACTCCAGAAAGGATGAACCCAGGGGATTTGAAAGGCCAGTCAGTGTAACCGAAAGGCTGGTCTTACAAAGACCAAGAGTTGAGTTCCACCTTTCAAAGAAGGTGGGCGCCCGAGCTCTCCATGAAAAGATAAGACAACTTATCTTTTAAGGCAGCAAAGCCGTAGGACTGGTAAAGAGGAGACAAGAATAGAACCTGACTTACATCAAGTCCTCTAAAAAGCAGGGAGGGTGGAAAAGGAAGAGAGGGACCTCCTAGTCGGAGCTCAAGAACGGAAGAGAGGGAACCCCTAAAAGGCGTGACCCGACGAAGTATAATAAAGAAGTCAAAAGAAGAAATTATTATTTGGATGTAGCTACTTATGTATTTATTCCTTTCTTAAAAAGAAGGGATTATATATGAAGAACACTATCAAAGATTGGGAAAATTGTTAAGAAGGATGAATTTGGACAAAGTCTAAACTCGAAGAAGAAGACAAATTCTAAGAATTAGGATTTGGATTCTGAGCATTTCAGTCCAAATTCTTCCTTCTTTGACTTCTTTATCTTCTTTAATACAGTGTTCCAACAAATATTTTTCAATGCTCAGAATCCAAATCCTAATCCTTAGGATTTGTCTTCCTCCTTCGAATTTGGACCTTGTCCAAATTCTTCCTTCTTTGACTTCTTTATTTTCTTTAATACAGTGTTCCCAGGAACATTTTTCCCAATCTTTGATTGGGTTCTTCATCTTTTCAAGAAGGGAACAAATACATAAGTAGCTACATCCAAATGATAATTTCTTCTTTTGACTTCTTTATTATACTTCGTTCGGTCACCCCTTTTAGGGGTTCCCTCTCTTCCTTCGTTCGTGTCCTCCGACTAAGAGGTCCCTCTCTTCTTTTTCCACCCTCTCGTTCAGTCTCCCCGACTAGGGGAACCCTCTCTGCTTTTCAGAGGACTTGGTGTAAGTCAGGTTAGCTTCTTGTCTCCTCTTTATCGGTCCTACTACTTTGCCGCCTTAAAAGATAAGTTTTCTTATCTTTAAGGAGAGCTAGGGCGCCCACCTTTTTTGAAAGGTGGAACTCAACCCTTGGTCTTTGTAAGACCAGTCTTTTGGTTACACTGACTGGCCTTTCAAATCCCCTTGGTTCATCCTTTCCATAGCTCACTCCCCAGCACGAGGAGACATTAGGAGGGGAGAATTTGTGCATGTGCATTTTGTATATTTATACTATTTTAAAGGTTTTCAAAAATTTTATAGTTTTTATTTACAATAGCTAAATTAATTATCTATTTAACTTTATATCTTAGATAAATAATACTTCATTTTATAATAAACAAATAGATAAATATATATATATATATATATATATATACATAATTAGTGTCATATCAGAATCTATAAACGGACATTAATTTAATATATTATTCATACAAAATATATAATACATAAAATATTACCAATGTTTATTTTAAACTACAATCTGAAATAAAAAATGGTAAATATTTAACTAAACTATTACGAATTTCGTACGATGTGTGGGTAGGAGATACTCATTAATATTTATAAATTAAAAATATTCCTTAAATAATATTTATAAATTAAAAAAATAAAATCAATCTGCAGTACAAATTACATATATTAATTTATTAAAAATATTGTGTGCAATTTAAATTGAGCAAAGTTATATAAAACATGTCTATTTAAAATTATTACACAACTTATTCGATGTACGTAACTATTAGTAAATTACATAATATTCATTTCAAAATAAGTGTCATTTTAAAAATTTTATTCAGAAATTCAATTTGACTACAATGTGATTTCATAAAATAATTATTTTGGTAAAATTTTAACATATACTTAAAATTTTATGTGAATAATAAGTATATTTGTAAAACTTATATTGTTTCATTACTTAAAATGGATTTATCTTTGTATAAGCTATCCAAATAAAAAAAAACTAGTATGTACCCGTACGATGCACGGTGGGCGCATAACTTAAAACATATTGAAGTACTTACTTTAAATGTAATTAATTAAATTTAATATCTAATTATGGAAACAAAAAAAAATCATCTTCTCTGTACACAACATTAACTAGTGTATATCCCGTGCGATGCACGGAGCATCTCATATTTTAAACTTTATTTTAGATTTTATTTTAAATATAATTATTTATATTTTTCACATCTCGTCATTATGAAATTAAAATAAATGCAAAAAATGAAAAATATTTATTATTAAACACTTTTCTTTATATAATATTTTTTATTTAAGGAATATTATCAAACCTATATGATTGTTAACGTACAAAAAACAATAGAAATAATCCATACTTTAAAGTAAAATTATTTTTTTATTATTTTACAAATAAAAATCATCCATTTTTTTTTATTTCAAAAAAATTTGGCAAGTTTGTTAATGAGTTAAATCAAGTTATACAAATGATTAAATAGTTAAACTATTATATTAATTATATTTTAAGAAATCCGATTATATAAATGTAGGTAAAATAATATTATGCTAATTAGTTTGTTAGGATTGTGATTATATGGAATTTAAGATAAAATGAAATATAACCAAAAAATCTATTCGTGGTCTTTTCCTTTAAATGTTTGAATTTAAAATTATATAACCAAATTTACTTTATATCACATAAGGAAAAATAAATAATAATATTTATGAATATGTTTAAAAATTTAATTTTGAATTTCAAATAGAGTAGAAGACGGAATAATTCAAATTTGTTTTCAAAACGTTTTTAAAGTCTTTAATATTCTGGTAAGTATACCCGTAAGAATAATCTTACTATTTTAATTTCAAAAATTTTGGCAAGTTTGTTAATAAGATAAATTCGGTTAGACAAAAGATTAATTAGTTAAAATATTATATTAATTATATTTTAAAAATTCCAGTTATATAATTATAATTGTACTAATTAATTTTTTAAAATGTAATTATATGGAAGTTAAGACAAAATTAAATGTACCCAAAAAATCTGCTTAGGATCTTTTTCTTTAAATGTTTGAATTTAAAATTTTAATATCGAATTTCGATTATATCACATAATGAAAAAATAAATAATAAACGTTTATTAATATATTAAAATATGTAATTTTGAATTTCATATAAAGTATAAGGTATGATAATTCAAATTTATTTTTTAAATAAAAGCTATGATAAACATTTATTGTTTCTCTTTCAAAATATTAATAAATAAGAATATAAATCCAAACAAATTTTGATAAAATGGAATGTACCCAAAAAATCTGTTTGTAATATTTCCTTTAAATAATTTTTTTTTTCAATTTTAAACAAAAGATAAACATAATCGGTTGAAAAAAAAAAGAAGTCAAATATACTGCTAAAATAAAAATCTATTTTCTCTAATCAAAAGGAACTTGAATTTATCTGATATGGAAGGAATCTCATCCAAAATATATTGAACTCATCCAAAACATACTGAATTTCGGAATGAAAAAATTTCAAACAAAATTTTAGGAGGGAAAAAATGATTTGAGCGGTAAAATGAAATAATTTTTCAAACATTTTTTCTTCTCTCTATTATATAGTAATAGATATTATTTGTTTGATTTGGGGGCAAATCATGTTCATCACATATTAGAATTTTCAAACTCTTTCTGTTGGTGACGCTCGAAACAGCAACATATAACTGGCCATGACTGAAAACTGGTTTCTTCAAGAATAAACCAACGTGGGATAAAGATTGACCCTGACTCTTGTTAATAGTCATTGCATAAGAGACTGTGATAGGGAATTGCCTTCGTTGAAACTTAAAAGGTACTCTTGCATCCGAAGGAGTCATCGTCATTCGAGGTATCAACACGTTATCCCCTGCATGGTCGCCCATAAGTATTCTACATTCTAGGACATGATTGAAGAGTCTTGTTACAGCAGACTATAGACTGAAAATTAAAAAATTATAAATAACCTCATAATTTGTTACGCAAATTACTAACCTGACTGCGTTCATTCTATTGGATAATTCATTATCTGTATCCTATAGTGAGCATCTTCTGCGATGCACGGACGCGCTTGTTTTTAAAACCTTTTTCTAAAATTCATATAAACATTTCATTATAGCAATAAAAGCAATATAAAATATGGAAAGTCATATATAATTGTAAGATAATGTTTATAAATTAAATATGTATTATGTGTATAATATGTAACAAAATTTACTATAATTAGTTAAAATTAGACCTAGACATATTACGAATTCTACGTAAGGCATTTTTTTGTCAAAACTAACAGGCAAAAAATTATTTCTCATTGACGGATTTACATCAATCATTTCTTTTCTTGATTACATTTCGATAATTATTCTTCTTGTTTTCAACTCTAATATGAATTCTACTCGTAAGCGATAATTACAAAAATCATTGGTATCAAAGTTTTCATTTCTCTTATCATAAAAATACTTAAAAGTCACTATTTACATTCATAAACCTTTTACAACGATTATATAACATTAAAGAAGAACTGGACTTAGGTTTTTTCCCAACAATTTTGGTATTCTTCTCCCATGTATAACTTAGTTACCCATTTTACTATTCAAATTATAACACATTAATCATATATAGATCATTACAACATTCATATGACTATGGTTTATAAAATATGTCGCAAATGAATTCTCTAAATTAATAAAATATAATGAGAAGAATACAAAATTACAAACCAAATGCAAAAGTTGATTCAAAGTTTGGGCACATATGTCATTTACACCATATACAAAGTGAGAATAATAAATTTTCATTAGAAGATCCATTAATCTAAAATAAAAGCAAACAAAAAATTAAACCAAAAACATTCACCATAATAAACCTAAGTCGATATACACACCATCAATTGAAGAAAAAAATTAAAAAAAACCTCAAAAACTCATGAAAGGTTTAGTGTCAAATGAAAATAAACCTAACTTGCTTAAAATCGGAAAACACAGTCATCTCCCAAATCGCCGCCCCACAACCCCTGGTCCACCAGCTCCACCTCATCGCCAGCAGCCTGTCCCCCGACAGCGGTGCTTCACGCTCCCATCAAGCCACCATGAGCGCGTCCAAGAGATCTTCGGCCCTCATCGTGGCCTTCCTCAACATTTTGCTAATATTATTATACGGCCGTTCACATTTTTCCAAACTACTACACAATCGACAACCACAATCGTCACGGCAAGAAGAAACACAAACACTCAGTATTACAATAACTTGAAAACAATAACTTATCTCGTTAGAAACGACCCCATCTGTGGCCTCTCGTGACTGCCCTAATTGGAGTCAATCAAAATAACAGCTAAATTATCTCATCCTCATGTTCATCCATTCCTTTTAACAACCATCGAGATATGAAGTAACTTAAGACATTAAGTTTCTAAAATAAATTAAAGAATATTACAATAATACTTTTCTAGCTATAGCTCATAGAAGTTGGAAATGAGTTTTACCTTATCATCGCATTCATTCCAATTAGAGGTGCTCATCTCGAGAGAAAGAAGGAAGTAGAAAGCACTAAAGAGATAAATTAGGTAATAATGAGATAAACAAACCCTCGACAAACCCGGTTTAAATATGGAAGTTCAACATAACAAGGGACACAAGGCTTTTTTGCACTAAAATTAGACATGATTAGTACAAATCTAACATCCAAAGATTGCAACTAACAGGTAGATATTTTGCAATTGTTCGAGTAGTTCAACTTCCATGGTAGATGGAATTTGCATGAAAACATACACATAAACTCCAATATAGAACAAATGCAGCAGGGCTAACCATATCAACTTTCATAGTCCACAGTTGAACAATATGCTATGCACACAAGATTAGCCAAAACTCTAATCACCACAATCATTCATGATAAACTAACCGAAAACCAAGAAACTCACTCGAGCCTAGACACAAGCACCCAAGTCCATTAGCACAATATACATAAGGTAGATATATTGCCTTGCTCAGTAATTCAACTTTCACATAGATGCAATTTGCATGTAAACATAGCCATGAACTCTAATATAGAACATCAACTTTCACAGTCCACAGTTCAATAATATCCAAAGCTAATATCCAAAGCACATAAGAATAGCCAAAAAATTCCATCATCACTAATTTTACAAATAATAAAAAAATACTAACTGGCTTTTATTCTTCTAATTAAGCTAAAACCGCACGCATAACTAACTGAAAGCCAAGAAACTTACTCGGGCAGAGAGACACAGCCAGCTAGGGTCATCGGCATAATATACATTAGGCTTGTCGTGTGTAGCATAATCCCGGTGGCTTCCGTCGCCAGCTTCGACTCCGACAGATAACCCGCCAGCACCGTCATAATATCATACCACCGCCACTCCAAACATATCCCGACACTGTTGTGTGGTTTCACGACTCCAATTCGTTGTGATGCTCTATCTCCATCCACCCCATCCAAGCCGACAGTGCCCGACAGCCGCTCACGACTCCAATTCGCCATCACTTGAATCACAGTCGTTGGAGCTGTATGGTTTCACCGACTCTATAACCACATGGCTCCACCCTATAGTGCTGCTCGGCAGCCGCACTGCTCTCTGCCGACGATCCTTTATCAGCCGCTGGTTGCCGTCCGTCGATCTCCGACACGGGCCTCATCCTCTCTCTGGCCGTTTTTCCGTCAATTATGGTGTTGTCTGCCTATCTCAATCATGCCGCCGTCCCTGTGTTGCCGACGAGAGTTGTCGATATCGGGCAGGCGCACGACCTCGTCTTCTCATAAATAGGGGGTTTTTGCGTTGGGCGTTTGCGAGGGAGAGAAACGAAGGAGATGAAGAAATTAGGAAGGAAGATGAAGAATTTGGTAATTTTGGTGTGCAAGGGAATGAAGAAGAATTAAGGGAAGAAGAAGAGAGAGGAAAAAAAAAAAAGAGGGGGATACAGAGAAGAGGAGAAAAAAATGGAGATCTAAATAATGTTCAGTTTTGTTAAAAGATATTGAAGATTGAAGATTGGAGATTTTTTTTAGCAATATCTTTTTTATGGAAGTTAAGATAATGTAACTAAAAGAATCTGGAACGGCATTTTCCTATTTGTGGGTGGATTGCATGGGATCTTGCCAAATCTCATAACATTAAAAAAAAATTATCTGATTGTTTTATATAATTGAATGGCGGGTTACATGGGATCGAAAATTCAAACAATTTTTGCGAAATGAAGAAGCGGGAAAAACACTATATGCAAGCGGGAAAACAAAATATTTTTTTTCGGATTGTTCAAATATTTTTTCTTCTCCGTATTATATAGTAATAGATTAAGTAGTTGAGTATCATATTATACTATAAATAATCGATGATTCCATTTATGTCTAAATTAATATCGACCCGTATGTTATGAATAATTACTTATTTACTTTTATAATTGAAACCCAAATTTGGACTACACCGTAAATTCTGTAGTAGATTGGATATTGCGCCACACCTTTCTCCCGTAACAACACTGGGCTCACTGCCGCTGTCCCGATAGAAATATAAAGCATCATGTCCTCTCATTGTACCGGTTTGACCAACAGAGATAGATTACTCAGAATGACCTGTAGCTCCTCAAATGCTTTTTGGGCCTCCTCCGTCCACTTAAACTTCAAGCTCTTCTTCAGAGTTTTGAATAACAGGTTACTCCTTTCGGCTACTTTTGAGATAAAACGGTTCAAGCCCGCAATTCGACCGGTCAAGATCTGTACCTCCTTTACACTCTTCGGGGGCCTTATCTCCAACACAGCTCGTACTTTCTTAGGATTCATCTTGATCCCTTTCTTCGTCACCATATAACCAAAAAATTTTCCTGACTTCACACCGAAAGAACACTCAACTAGATTCAACTTCATCCCATGCCTCCTTAGTGTGGTAAAGTCTCTCTCAAGTCTGTTATGTGATCAGTATCCTCTCCGCTCTTAACTGGAATGTTGTCCATATATACCTCCATATTTCAACCTAATTGCTCCTTAAAGATCTTATCGACCAGTCGTTGGTAGGTCGCTCCTGCATTCTTCAAGCCGAACGACATGACCACATAGCAATAAGTCCCTGTGTTCGTAACGAAACTTACCCTCTTCCTTTCTTCCTTTGCAAGGGAATTTGATGATAGCCTTGGGAAGCATTCATAGGCTCAATAATATTCACCTCGTCGTTGAGTCGACCAGCTGGTCAATTCTGGGTAATGGATAAAGGTCCTTGGGGCACGCCTTGTTGAGGTCCCCAAAATCAATGCACATTCGCCACATTTCGTCGGACTTAGATACCATCACCGTATTAGACAACCACTTGAGAAATTAAATTTCACCACATGCCCTGCCCGCAATAACTTATCGACCTCATGCTCGATAATTTTGTCCATTTCTGCTCCATGGTGGTGTCTCTTCTGTCTCACCGACTGAACATTGAGGTCAATGTTCAGCCGATGCTCGATGATACTCGTATCAATCCCCGTAAGATCCTCCAAAGTATAGACAAAGATGTCTTCAAAATCTCTCACCGGCTTAACCAGCTCCGTCCTCAAAGGGTCTTCCAATTTCGCCGCAATCCTGAACTTCCTCTCATCATTCCCCTTAGTCATCTGGATCTCTTCAACCTCATCTCCAGGCTAAATGTCTGCCTTCTGCTTTCTTTTTCCCATCTTTGGCCTCTCCTATTTTGACCTCGAACCACTCGGCCTGCTCACCTCCTTCTCTTTTGGGGCATTCAACCTCTTTACATCCCGCCTCTTCACTCCAACTGTGGTTTGATAACACATCCTCGACATCAACTGATCTCCTACAACCTCCCCAACTCTCTCGCCAGCAGGATAATTAATATCGTCATATGATATGTTGACACCATCGCCTGAAAGACATTCAAGCTTGTCCTTCCTAAATTATACGATGACTCAGCTCTCACGACCACAAACCTGACCATTTTCACTTTCCTCAATGGGCCAGTCTCCAAGGCGACTGGTAGAGTGATCTCACGACCTCACTACCATTGAATCCGTAGCTAGCTCCACATCCAAATCTAGCTGTTGAAAATAGTCATAGAACATCACATCAATCGAGCTCTCCGTGTTGATAAACACTCTCTTCACGTCATACCATGCTACTTCAGCTGTGATCACCAAAGCGTCGTTATTAGAGATGTTAAACGGACCAGCCGTAGCGGTTTCGGGCTAGCCTTGACGGGTTTCAGGCTAAATGGTCCGGGCTTAAAAAACTCAGATTTAAACGGGCTACCAATAAAAGGACTTAACTCTAACCCTAGCGGGCTTTTGGCTAACCGGGCTATAAAAATAATAATAACATATCAAAAATAAAAAAAAATAAAAAATGTATATAAAAAATTACAACGTCTAGTTAACGACTTTTTTCAACAGCTATTTACTATTTACCGCTCTATATATACAACTACACTTCATATATGAACACACATTACAAACTCTTAACTAACATATTTTTTCTCAAAAGAAAGAAAAAAAAATTGTTCGAACTATTACTTATAATTACCATTTTACTTCTTATTTTGTACTTTTGAGAATTTTCACGATATTGTATCATATTGCTGAATTTATATTCTATCACTTTTTTATCTCACGTGTTTTCGATTACCCGTTCTGATTTGCTTAGATATTTTGTTGTGAACTAGAATAACAAAATTGTTAAAATTATATTTCAAAAATTATAATAACTCGTTACAGCTTATACTTACATGTGAAGTAGAATAGCAAAATATACGAGAAATCTTGGGGCATATTTTTTACCTGCTGCAAACATTTACACCGCTCAACCCAAGTTAAACGGGCTAGCCCTAACGGGCGTCGGAGTAAAACGTCCGAGCCTAAAAAGCCTTGATTTAAACGGGCTTCCAAAAAGAGACCTAACCCTGGTTTTTCGGGCTAAATGGGTCGGCCCGTCGGGCGAAAGACCGTGTAAAATCTCTAGTCATTATGTGGCACATGGAAACCTTGGGCATCCTCAGCTCGAAAACTGATTATAGGGGTTCGAGCTGCTATGCCGACCTCTTCCCTCTTCTTCTTTGCAACACGAACATGCTCATTTCTTGCATTATTGGAGTCCCCATCAGTGGGATCTCCTGAGATTATGTGGATGACCCCCTCCCCCCTCTTGGGCAGGGCCTCTTCTTCTTCAAACTCTCGACCATCTCTCTCTCGACCTTTTTTTACCTCCACCCCTTCGACCACCGCGATTCTCTCGCTTCTCTTTATCCTCGTCCTAATCTCTATCTCTTTGTCAACTGAGTCCTCTCGATACCTCATTTTCTCCTTCTTTTTTTCTCTATTATGATATACTAACTCCTTAAGATGACTAACCTGAATCAGTCTTTCGATCTCATCCTGTTAGATATGCTGTAAAAGCTTGGCTTTCAGTTATGAACAATACCATTTTGATCTGGCAATCGTATTTTAGTCAAAGTATTTATGTTTGCAGTTTATTTATTTATGCAATTATATCTCCATTATTTTACATTGTAGATAATATGGTTCGTCGTGTCGAACAAAAAGATCATATTATCGGTTCCTTGTAAAATATAAATTAATTGTTTACAGTTTAGACAGGCAGTGAGACCCCTGTTGGAAAAAGACTGTAGTGTAGTCTTGATTCAGTTGACCTTTGACTGATGGGTTACACTACTACTTATGATAAGTGTTGAACGGACCGCGAAAGGATAGGATTATAAGATTTACTGATCATTGTTATAATCTAAATCTTCAGCAGTTGATGCGTACTCTTAAGCTGTAAGATAATATAAAATGGGCATACATATATATATTCATTACTTATTCATTTGATTTAGCAAGGGTGATTCCTATTCTGTTAGGATGACATACTCGCTAATTTGGTAAGTAAGAGTGTTTATATGATGTGCCCTTATAAATTATTTACAATCACTATGTACCAGTGCGCTGGGTTGATGATGTCCACGAAATGAGCTCATGAAAGAATATTATGTCAATCCCTGCAGGTGGATAATTATCCGACATAAAGATTAATGAACTGAGTGGTACTAGTTTCAGAAATAAAAAAGTCAAATTAATTTTATTATCAGTAATTAAATTAATTGACGGACGTTATATCTTAAACATAGGAAGGTAAATCAGTCAATTAGATTAATATTGGCCTTGTTTGGCGATCAGCGGATAGCGGATTATATTAGCTGATTTGACCAGCGGATTGCATTAGCGGTTTTTAAATAAGTGTTTGGTAAATAGCTGAAAGCTTATAGTTGTTTGACATTGCAAAATGATCAATAAGGACATTTTGTTATAAAACTAGAAGAAAAAGAGAGAATAGAGAAAATGTATTCTCGTAGGTACAATTTTCATTATAACTGAAGCTCCTATTTATAGGAAACTTCTGATGACACAATTCGTAATAATACAATTACATCAGGGACAAAATAGTCATTCACATATACTAGTTTATTTCCTCGTGCACCTCATGCACATTATTATAACACTCCCCCTTGAATAACTATTTCTTAAACATATTTTAACTGATTTGAACAAAGCCCAATCTGCACATCTTCAAGTGTATCTTGTGGCCATCAGGTAGCGTTGCTTCAGCATGTCAGGAAAACCCGGTGGGACAAAACCTGAGCATTGTGGAAGCACAA